ACATTGTGTAGTTCCCAGATTATACTAGAATGATTAGCTTGAATAGCTGAAGTAACTAGTGGTACAATATATGTGACCATCTGGCAGCATAATTTTTATTGGTTGCTGGTTGCATATTGCCTGTCATCATGATTGATCATGAGTCACGGCCATCTAGCAGTGCATTTTACTCTCCTGGTGTTTGAAATTTGAAGCTCTATGTGCACCTATGGAAACTAGGTTTATTGATTTAGCATGAATTTTGGGGATGTTATATCTTTCAAGTTGCAACTGCATGACCACCAAACATAGTCGACCAGCTGTGAGGCTTGACATGTTTCTCAGTTTTAAGTTTGCACATATCTACTATACATTTCATTGATTGATTGCTTTGCTTCTTGTATGTTGATATTTTCTGCGGATATACTGTTTTTTTCGTAGTGTTCAAGCACCCTGTTATATCTAGTTATGCACCTTGTGGCTGCTCTGCCAGGTTGCTTTATGTTTTTATTTTGAGAAAAAGTCACGCTTCATGTTCTATCTACTGATATAAGATCCCACACCATTGTTTATTTAAGACTTCCACAAGTTAACTTCTAGTGAGGCTGTTAGCGTACTATGGCATTTAAGTCCACTACAATAGCTGAATAATTTACCTTACTAAGCGAACCCACTAAGTCATCATATATACTTTTACATAATGTGGTTCTGAAAATTGGGTAGTTCTCATATTCTAGTAGGATGATTAGCTTGAATTGTTGTGGTAACTAGTGGTGTTGTACAACATGACCATATGGCAGCATGTTTTATTGCTTGCTGGTTGCGTAATGCTTGTCATCATGATTTGTCATGACCATCTAGCAGTGTATTTCACTCCGTGGTTTTCCCGAGTTCTTCGATTATGATATATGAAGCTTTATGTGCAGGTATGGAAACTACTAACTTCTAGTTGATTGAGTAGCGTAATTAAGTTCACCGTAGGAGACAAGACCAACAGGGCTGATTGATTGTACTCTCCTCTCCCTCCCGCGCCGCCCCCGCGTGGCGGCGGGGAGGGAACCCTAGGCGGCCGCTGCCGAGCTCCCCACCCTCCCTCCTCCTCTCCTAGGGCTGGAATTCGAGCCGAGTCGAGCCAGCTCGGCTTGACTCGCTAGAGCTCGTTTCGTTAACGAGCTAGCTCGACTCGACTCGTTATCATTAACGAGCTCAAATCCAAGATTGGCTCGACTCGTATAACTCGCGAGCTGGCTCGTTTAGCTTGTTAAGCTCGTTAAAGATATGAACATAAAACCCTCAAACATTATAAAAATTATTATGTATATATTAAACATATATATCACTAAACAATAGTAATTTCCTTGTAACACATGAGTCTCCTAGGCGGTTGGGCCTTCAACGGCTAGGCCTTGTGTTGTGCGCCTGGGACATAGGGTGCTGAGTGGCTGTTCTTTTTTTATATTGGAAGTAGCTGATCTTTTGTACCAAGCCTAACGAGTTACACGAGTACTCGTGAGATTGGCTCGTTTAACTTGGTCTATAAACGATCTTAAACTAAAGCTCGGCTCGACTCGTTATTCTTCGAGTTCGAGTCGATTCGAGCCGAGTCACGAGCTACTCATTTAGCTCACGAGCTTCGAGCTTTTTTTCCAGCCCTATCCTCTCCCGTCGCCGCCAAAGGGTTTGGCCGGGCAAAGCTCGTCCGGGCCGGCGGCGGCGGGGCCCTCTCGATCCCCCATAGGCAGAGGTGCGGCACGGGCACCGCGACGCGACGCCGCGCGGGTGCGCTGGAGGCTGCTGGCGTGGTGGCGGCATGGACGGTGGAGGATCGTGTCGGGCGAGCTCTGGCGGTGTGGATCTAGCGTGTGAGGGGCTGATGCGATGAGGGCTGTGGGCGGCGCGGCCTGGCGCTTCCTGGGCGTCGGACGGCGGCTGTTGGCAGCAAGGTAGCCGGCGGCTCTTCTCACGGGCGGGTGGAGGCTGGTCAGCGGGTGGACGGTGGACGCCTTGGCCTCGGGCGGCGGTGGCAGGACGATGCGTGGAGAGCCGAGGGGGCGCGGGGCTGGCACCGTGGATGCGGCTGCTCGGCGGCCGGACTGCCGGCTGCCTTGGCGGCCTCTCATCTGGATCCGGTATGCCCAGATCCCCGGATGCGTTGGCTGGTAGTTGGCCGGCAACGCGGACTGGCATCCGGTGCGAGAGTTTGACGCGGTCCTCCTACCCGGGGCTCGTCGCTCCTTGCGCGGCGTCCAACGTTCGGTCGCCCTGGAGTCGGTGCACGGCTCTGGGCCGCCTCCGTTCCGGTCAAGATGGGAGCTTGTGGTTCAATTGGGGGGCGTCTTCTCGTTATGGCGTTGATGAAGGACCGTGGTGGTGGTGGTCAGGACAGTGTTGTGCCAGCAGTCAGATCTATGTCGTAGGCCACGGATTTGGCATCCTCTGAGTTGATG